GAGTCTTCCAAGTTTAGATCGTAAGAGATATGCTAACCTTAAGATGATATAAAATTTATTTATTTAAATTTGTATGCTGCCCCATTCGCAAAAAGCCTTGCAAAAATGTTTTTGCTGCAACAAGCTGACAGTGCAATCTTGTCCTTCTGAGTTCAGTGGCACATATATAGGAATGCACGATAAGAAGGCTATGCCTCTGGAAATGTTCTGCTACCTTTTGAAAATGCATGGCTATGGTGGCTGTAGGAACTCTTCACAGCATGGAAATTATTTTAAATATGTATATTATTAATTTTTTTCTTTTTAAAGAATGAATGTTGGACAAGTTGTTAAACCACAAGGCTACTATGTCTGCATGCCGTCGACATCGCTTCGATCTGTAACAGATAAAGCAGACATTCAACAGGTGCAGCATTCACTTAAGAAGAGGAAGGCTGGAGAAGGGGAAAGTTGTATCACCTAAGCTGAAGGCCGCCTCCTAAATGGTTTCACTCTGTCAAGCCATAGTCGTAAGATCTTAGCAGCGCGGAGGCTTCTTTATGTTTACTAAGCAGCTTTCGCGGCCGTGTATTTCTCTTCTAAGATCAGTTAGCACCGAAGTTCAACCGAAGAAGAAAAGGAGCCCCTCCTTCGATTTTGGAGCGAAACATCTCCTTAATAGGAATTATAATTGCATTATATGCAGCCATTCACCCACCCGAGGTGAGAGATTATGATTATTAGCATTAATTAATTAATTTCCCCCCTTTCTAGCTGAATGAATGGGATGTTCCACTCTGTGGAAAATGAATGAACGAGAGGGTTAGGCGGGGCTGCTGCCTCCCCATCTTTACAGCCGTGCCGAGCTGGAGAAGGGCCGGGCCAAGCGCCCAGGAGATGCTTCGCTGCCGCCCAGGGCGAAGGAAGGGTCGGCAGAGGATGCCCCCGCCGGACGCGATCGTGCCTCCCTGGCTGGGCTGCCACCAGTAGAGGCTTAAGGGAGCACGGTGGCTTCCGCTCGAGCCTTTGCGAGGCCCCGCGAGCCGAGAGGTGAAGAGCCGAGAGCGTCGATGTCGGTCGCGTGGCGAGTTCTGCTTGCCGGGGGGCGAGGAAGGGCTGTCGGCGTCCTTCTGTCGCCTGGGCTCGCCGGACAGGCTTGTCCGTGGGATTCGCGCGGGGTTTGTTTGCTGGGTGAGAGGATGCTGTTTGCCTCGCCCTTTTGGACAACTAGACTAGGGAAGGCAGGCCTGTGTCATCCCCCCTCCCCCGGGCGCTGGGATGGATGAGCAGCAGCTGCTGGCGCGCGGCTGTTGTTTACTCTCGGCTGGTGAGGATCAAGGCGAGGTTGCCTCACACCCATGTGCGCGCAACGTTAATGTTCTGATTTTTTATTCATCCGGCATAGAAATATTATAACGGGTTGAATCCCGTGCTAGTCTAAATTAAGTTTCATTCAATTCAGTGGGCCTTCTCGAGCAGGACTAAGGACAGATACAACCGCATAAATCCCACCGCGAGATAGAGTTTCCCTTCCCTTGACGTGACTAGCTCTGTGTGTTGGGGCGGGGGAGAGAGAGTACGTTTGCGTCTACAAACACCTAAGCAACAGTTGCTTGGGGAAAATCGTCCATTCATTCCAATGAGATTCATTCTATGTAAGAGGTCTAGGAGTGCGTATTCAACTAGCAGAGGTCTTCAGAATGCGATTCTGTTGCAACGGTGCAGCACGATGAGGTAGGTTGTCCGATGTTATTCCTCTCTTGCAGGTAAACCAGCTGACGCTGAGAGCAGAAGAGCAGGAGGGACCCTCATTTCACAGTGGGGCACTGGCTTGGCAAGCAGAAGGCTCTCCCAGAGTCTGCCTCTGCATCTCCAGCCAAAAGGCTCAGGCAGCAAGGGATGGGCAGAACTTCTCTGCGCAAAGGCCAGTTCTTGACAGGTTAGGCAGAGCTGGGTTGGATGGGCCAGCACAGCTGTATCCTCCATATTGTTGGCTGAGGGTTGTATCTAATGCTAGACCTATGTAGAGTAGACCTATTTAATTGAATGAGACTTAAGAGGAACTAATGATGGATCAAACCCAGTGTTAGGACTTGAGCCCTGCTATTGGGTGCCCAGGTCCAGTATCCTCCAACCTGACCAGTTTCTCATCATGGGGAAGGAAGGATGGTTTTGAAATAGTGAGTGGCAGGGGGTTAGGGAGGAAATGGACAAGAGAAAGGGGTGGGGGTAGAAAGTGGCACTAGCACAGTCAACTGACTGAGAATTATGAAAATTGTAGTCCAACACATCTGGAAGACTCCAGACGTGGGAAGACTTGTACTGGAACTTGCCTCTTGTGTCTAGGAGACTGAGTAGGCCCACTGTGTGGGTTCCAGACAGATACAAAACTCCTGAGAACCTTTAAGTAGACTTGCTAACCCTTTTAAAATTTTATAATCCCTCACACAGCTGCATGAGAGGAAAGCATTCAACAGATAAAATTTCTTTACTCTGTGGTTACTGTGATGACAGATTTCAACTGCTGTATTTCTTTCTGTTAAAGGCACAGGAGCCCCTCCCGCTCCTGCAAAGCAAACAAAAACACCCCATAAAACAACAGTGTTGGATACAATTCCTCATAATTCTGTTCCTTAAGAATTCTTGTTTTCAAAATCCAAACTTTTCTTCTCATATTCTGTGAACGGTATGAAGAGTCAGGAAGGAGGATCAAACTCCTGGCTTTTAAGTTTCCCCACACAGATCTGAAGGTTTGTGTCTTTTTCTAAAAAGTGTTACCTGTTCTCATGCCATCTGTGGGAACAAGATAGGTGGGAAATGGGTTTAGGGCAGATCTGTATTTGCATTTTGTGTTACAGTAATCACTAGCCTTGTCAGTATGGAAATGTATATGCTCCTATCAGCTAGATTTCACAGGGGAGGGGGAGTGTTAGTATAAAGAAATCAGCTGTGAAATTTACCACCACAACAATAGTAAAGATAATAATTACTGAAATTACTGATATTATTCACTGAAAAAACTTTGTAATATTCTGAAAGTAATGGAGGACCCATTAAATTGCTGAGCATGACAGTTTGAAATGGATATATTCTTTATTTTGTTCACTGGGTTTTGGCTAGTACCATTTAGAGTACTAGATGGGGAAACTCTACATACTGACATCAAGGAAGCAGATTTTATTTCCCCCATCTTTACATTACACTTTAATGGTGTCTTTTTGGCAAATGGTGTAGCAGATATCATTCCTCAGGAAGAAATTATCTCAGATTAGCCCAGTTTTATGCATTCTTGCTCAGAAGTTAGTCATCTTAAATTCAGTGGCATTTATGCCCAAATAGGTCTGCACAGGGTAAATATACTTCAGCAGGTGTGTTAAGTTTCTGAGGACCTTGGCTGAATGGAATCCAGTTTGCTACTTGAAGAAGATGGTTTCATAAAAGGTTAAGTATACCTCCTAGACCTTAAGAAAACTGGTCTTGGGGTATTCAGGTGGTTCCAAAATTCCATGTACTGGACTGTTGTGCCTGTTTGGAATTGTTTTTAATAGTTGGAATCCCTTCTTGCACTGTGTGCATGAACATACTCTCGGGACTTCCAGCACAGGGAAGCAGAGGCCTTTGGAGTCAGGATTGGCATCAAGAGTCAGTGTGAATAGGCTCTTTCCAAGGGTCTAATCCCAGCAGGAACCCCATGAGATTTCCTTGGAGTTTTTCCTACTCTTTGGCACTGCAGCAGCTTGCTTGATCTTTTGCCCCTCTCTCTGTTACAATGGTGGTGACAAGAAAGAGGAGTGGTGAATATTCTTTGCTATTAGCTCACTGGTTCTTTGTTTGTCAAGCAAGCAAGTGGTGGAGGAAAGAGGAGGAAAAACAAAAGCAGTTGGTGGCAATGGCAGTGAAAAGTGAGTCACTGGGAGAAAAGTGTACTGGGAATGTCTTGCCCAGGGGTCCTCAAAAGTTCCGAGCATGCACTGCTTGGAATACACACAGGTATTATGCAGGTGTTTTCTACAAGTAGTAGATTCAAGGCATCTGGGAAAACACAGAGGAAAAGGGAAATAGAATTTTAAATACTAACTGGGTTATGAGTGGGTCACAAAGCTGTGCTGTATGAAGATGTCTGCCTGTTTTCCTTCCTAAATGGAACTGCTAGTGCAAATCTACTTCCTCTCTGAGACACATAATGTTTGCCACTCTGGCTTCCTTGGCTGCCTGCCTGCTGGCAGGTATGATGCTGCCAGTAGGTAACACATTGGCGTTGTCTGTATTCATCTGTCTCCATTACCGTGAGTAATGCAGCCAGATTGCTGTGCCTGTTGTGTCTTTGAGAGCCTGTGTGGGTGTGTGCACAAAACAGGAGAATGAAAGCAATAAGCCTGTGGGGTTAGCAGCCAACTCTACACACCTACACACCCCAACAGAAAATGAAAATAGCTGGTTGTTGAGACTCACAAATGGGAAAAGGCGATCCTGAGTAGGCACAAGCAAGGGTTAGCACTAGCTGCAAAGTGCTTTTTTGTTCGGGGGTAGAAGAGCATTAATGAGGAGGGTTGGCTGATTTCGCTCTGATGAACAATTATAACCTTAGAGCTACAAGCGAATTAGAGATTTCTCTAGTGCAAAGTGCAAAGCCAGAGGATTACTTGACAGTGCCACAGGCCATCCTCAACATCACGCTGTCCAGATGCACCACCCTGTCATTCCCAGCCAGACTTGCTAATGGGATTCTGGGAATTGTACTCTAATGTGACTTGAGAGTGCCAGGTGGGTGGGAAGGGTAGAGGAAGGATGAATGCTCACTGGATGACTTGGAACCAGTCACTTACACTAGGTTTAGGGGTTGTTGTGAAATAAAACGGGGGGGGGGGGGTCATAGTCTCCTTGGAGGGACAGACAGAATATAAATGTAAGCAATAATTTCTTATTAAAGCTAAGTTGCTGTTTTTGCATGACAGGTCTGCTACCCAAAAGGATATGTAAACACACAGGCTACATCTTTGGTTCCCATCTGATCAAGCAACATGCCAGAGCAAAGTAATGATTATCGAGTAGTTGTGTTTGGAGCTGCTGGTGTTGGTAAAAGTTCTTTGGTCCTTCGTTTTGTCAGGGGAACATTCAGGGAAACATACATCCCTACCATTGAAGACACTTACCGCCAGGTGATCAGCTGTGACAAAAACATTTGTACCCTCCAGATCACCGACACCACTGGAAGCCACCAGTTCCCTGCCATGCAGAGACTGTCCATCTCAAAAGGCCATGCTTTCATGCTGGTTTACTCTGTTACCAGCAGGCAGTCAATAGAAGAGCTTCAGTCCATCTATGAACAGATCTGTCAGATCAAAGGGGACATCCAGAAGGTCCCAATCATGTTGGTAGGAAACAAGAGTGATGATACCCAGAGAGAAGTAGATGCCAGCGAAGGAGAAGTCCTTGCCATGAAGTGGAAATGTTCCTTCATGGAGACATCAGCCAAAATGAACTACAATGTGCAGGAGCTTTTCCAAGAGCTCTTGAATTTGGAAAAGAGAAGAAGTGTCAGCCTTCAAGTAGATGGTAAGAGATCTAAGCAACAGCAAAAGAAGGATAAGCTGAAAGGCAAATGTTCTGTCATGTGAGATGCTGGGTTCTGCACCAAATCCAGGGTCATTAAAAAGGAGCAGAGACTTTTTCTTGCAGAGCATTCGCACGTGTTTTGGGAAATGGCTGGATAAAGTGTGCATAGAAGCCAAGCATGTTTTCTTTTAATCTGAGTCTGGCTAATACATTTTTGTTAGGTTGTATGAATATTTACTTGACGGAAGTTGGGCTTTGCATGTTTTGTTCTGTACAAGCAGCTGATTTTTTTTTAAAGTAACCACCACCAACACCCATGCTTCTGGCAGCAAACAACTAGTGCTAGCCATTGTACAACAGAACAAGCTACTATGGTCATGTAAATGATAAAGCGCAGCATAAATCATCTGAACTCTGTAATACCACAGCTTTTCAGTCTATCACCATCTTAGCATATGTTTCCTCTTATGCAAATACAGAAGGCCAGCCTATTTCAGAGTGACCTCTTTCCAAGTATGTTGGGGCTATGACCCCCATTATCTCCAGACAACTGTATGAGTTGGGGATAATGGGGTTGTGATTCACAATAGGACCCCAGTTGGTAAGCCAGAATCAAAGATGGTACTTTATCGAATGCTTGTTTATATTTTGAGCAAAAGATGCTTTCAGACTGATACTGATTCAGGGTCAAATCAAATACTAACTACTATAAATGATTATTCTTAGCACTTATTGTAGTTCTTTGAATATGTCCAGTTGTATGAAAGGAGGTGCTGCATTCTGTACCAAAGAAGTGCTATTTGTCCCACATTAGATGTTTAAACTTCCTATGTATTGATGTATATTGGCAAGAATTTTATGTGAACAATTAAAGTGATTTGAGTACACCATCTATTGACTTCTTAATTACAGAATTCTAAGCTTGTCTTCCTAATAGATAGAATTGATGGACCTAAATATTCTCTGAACCTTTGCATCTGAGCAGTTGGGAGATCAGCCTAGTACTTCTGTGTCTCATAACATGCTGAAATCAGAGTGTAGAGCCATTGGCTAGCGAGCTGTTGTTGGCTTTCAATTCTTGCCAACCCAGGATGCATGACTAATGGTTAGGGATGATTGGAAGTGTAGTTCAATACCTGGGAGCCACACCTGTTGTAGATGACACTCACCCTCCTTTTTATTAGACCTGGTCTTGAACATGTTCTGTTGTAATAAAAGAGAGTGGAGCTTGGCAAGCTATAGCATAAAAATCATAGGTTGGATCCATCATAGTTAAAGCAGACCAACTGAAAGTGGGAGTTAAGTTAGTCATGACTAATTTTTGACCCATTTATTTCAAGCTTCCTACTCTACTTGATCCAACATTATGTTTAAATTTATCTAGGGACAGCAGATATAGCTCATTTTATAAAGTATTTCAAATCAAGGTACAACACTAATTCTCTACTGCTGACATTTTACCCCATCCCCCCACCCCCTATCATCTGGATTTTATAAATGCATACAAAATTTGTACTGGAGGCACAAAAAATAAAAGATAAGTGAAGTAAATCCATTATGTTTTGGTGTATATTTTTTAATCTCATCAGTGAATTAGTACATGAAACCTAATTATTGCTGATAGATGAGCAATCCCCCCCCCCCATAGAGCTGGTGAGCTGCAAATTCAAAGCCCTCCATGTCCTCAATCATAGTCCCAGCAGGGGGGAACATGAAGACCTGTATTAGAATTGGTTTAAAATAATTTCTCTTCCACTGTTTGTAGTGGGGTGGAGGAACAGATTGAAGGGAAGAGAACAGGTAAGGAGGGGAAATGATGGATGTTGTGTTAGTAAAAACCCACAATGTGAAGGCTTAGCAAAGCAAGCTTTACTTGATTGCAAAAGGTACATAAACATAAGAACAGAACATTACAAGAAGTCCTGATTAACAAAGCAGAACTTCTTTAGCTCTGCCTTGCTATTTGGCAGTGTTCTCTGTGTATTTTCAGGGGAAATGATCAGTTCTGCACCCTAACAGTCTAAAAGCAGATCAACCATTTAGGGAGATTTTCTATTAGTGTGATTCCTGCCATCACTATTCCAACAGGCTGTTCCTTTCTTCTTTCCTGCCAGCAGCACTCTGCAAATGTTGGAGGACTCTTACTGAACTGTATTAAACAGGAACTGATCTCTAGATCTCTTATTTTCACAGTGGGGATTACTACCTGTTCTCTTCGCTCTCTTATATGTTGCTCAGAGCAGAGATGCCTAACTTCTTTCAACCTGAGGAAGCATTTCAATTTCAGAGAAGCACTCAAGGACCTTGTTCCAGTGGTGACTGGGACAAGAGGCAAAAGGGGTTTGCCCAGAAAATACCAGCACTTACTGCTAGTAACTAAGGAAGGTATCTCAGGTTTTCAGAATGTGGCAAAATACTAGCGCAAAAGTTGGGAGATCATGAAATGCTTGGTGGTTGGGGAGAGGTAAGGGGCCACAGGAAGGAGGTGTGGCCACTCAGAGAATCCTGGTGAGCCAGACTGAGGCTCTCAGCAGGCTGGTCTTAGTCTGCGAGCCTGAGCTTCAACAATTGTTCTAATTCTTTCTCCCATCACAAGCTACTTTGAAAATTAAGGTTATTTCTGCCTTTCGGTAAGCTGTTGGAACTCATTTAAAATGATGAGTCAACTCACTATATAGCACTGCATTATCCAGCAAAGTCTGTTCCCATGCCAATATAATTTTCTAACATTTATTCAGAAATAAGTTGCATTCAGCAGATTCTCTTGCAACTTTAAGTCATCCTCCTTGGCAGCTGTTACTTTAATTGCCTCCTGTTTGGCATGGACAATGACTTGGCCTTTAATTGTTGAGTACGGGTTATCCATGAAGAGGCATGTTAGGGGTTCTCCTCTCATTTTTCTTATTTCATTTAAATTTGTGATATTGTGGTATTGTTTACTCTTTAATGAACAAGACACACACTTATAATGAATAGATAAACACTGCAGGTAACAGGAACTGATTAACTAAAAACCAATTTTTAAAAGCCAATTGAGTGTGTAAACTGCTGGTGGTATAGAAATATGATGATGATGATGCTATATTCATGCTGAACATGAACAATTACATAGACAGGAGCTGAAAGCTATTAATTAAAGCCATAGTAGCCCTGAAAAGCCTCAATCCAGCAGAGTGTTGCAATTTTGTTTTGGTACAGCAGATCACCATAGGTCTGAACAATGACAAGTGAACAGTACAGAAACTACCCAAGTGCAGTAGACTGGAAATTACATGTCTGGATTTTCTGTAAAAGTGGAGTGAAAGAGTGGTAACTCCCAACTGAACAGAAAATATGTATGTTTATGAAGTTCCAGCATCTTGGAAAGGTTTAAACTGCAGTAGTCCAATCTGGAGGCCACCAGGCTGACAAAGGCCTGCTTTACACTCACAATATCAATATACTTTGATATTGTGCTCACAATATTTTTGCTTAGTTTTGGTGAAATTCACAATAAAAATTAATAAGCGCACACAGCATTGTCCTCCAATATTTAATTGTCCCTCCTACATCTGCTGCCTGAGGAAGCTACCTCACTCTGTCTAACAGTAGGGCCAGCCTTGTTCATTACCATATCACAACCAAAATATTTGGTTGCTTATTTAATAATTTTATACATCACTTTCCATTTTTAAAAGAAATCTCCAAACAGTTTACAGTTTATAGTATACCATTATAACAACACAGCAAATTTTAGAAAATTAATGGTTGAGAAAAGCCAAGGTAAATAAGTGTGTTTTAAATAATAGTTGAAAGCTCACAGTTGTCATGAGCAATGGAACTGCTGTTTGCCATACATGTGATACACAAGAACACAAAAAGGAGTATGAATGTTCAGCATTGTTCTTACAGCTTTTAAAATGAATGCTCCTGAAATGTGAGTAATGCTTAGAAAAATGGTATTCATCTCATACTGTCTCTATTATCCAGCTCATGGTTACTAATTAATCACAATTTCCCCCACCAGTTAGATCTTTCAGCAGAGACAAAATGTCACCCTACTTTGCATTGCTATTGAAACTTCCAGTAACTGCTGTAAAGAGGATTTCAGTTGGAGCTCATCCACTCCGTCTACTAGAGATATAAACTTTGCAAATTGTTTAATATCGGAGATGCATGTTTCAACTGATTAAACAATAAGTAATTACTCACATCTTAAAAACAAAAACAAAGCAAAAAAATACTTTAATTGGTTGTTAGCCATGCTTAATAAGCATTGGCCCCGGACCCACAAAATTCTGAGGAACAGTGTGTATCCATAGAATTTTGTGGAGCTGCCTTTTAATGGTAATGAGAAAAATTGATTATACCTCTTGTGGGTGTTTCCTGCCATGACAGAATAAAACAGAACTGAGAAAGAAAGCAAATTTGGGAGAGGAGAGACAAGTTTTCCAGCATTCAGCGGAGCATAAGTTTGTTGGTTTGTTATATGTTAAAACCACCCAATAATGGATGTTTGAAATTTAAAATGAACGCATTGAAAAGAAAATACAGTGACACTGTCAAACAAATCAGATGAAGACAGAATAACCCATGGGTCCTCAAACTACGGCCCGCGGGCCAGATCCAGCCCACCATGCCCAATTATCTGGCCCACGTCAGAGGTTTTGGATTCGCTGCATGTGTGTGCGCAGTGAGGCAGCAGCTTGCTCGTGCAGAAATCATTTTGGACTCGCTTGGAGAAAACAGTCTTCACATGTGCCTGCCCCTGCCCTGGCCCAGTCCGTGCCCCCCACCCACACCACCTTGGTGGCCTGTGCCCATCGCCAGCACCTTTCAACTGGTCCCCTGTTGAAAAAGTTTGAGGACCCCTGGTCTTACTAGCAGTAGCGCAATCACTTTCATTTGCATGTCAAAACAACACCGAAGACCTGTGCCTTTCTGACTGTCATGTCAATATCCTGTAATGACTGATACTATGATATTAAGTCCCGTCTGCAGATCTCTCACATTCTTTTTGACTATGTTCCCATTATTTCATCATCATCTGTCCTGTTCCTGTGTTTGTGACTCAAAACACCCT